ATATTCATAAATATTTTCATTAGTAACATTCTTATGAAGTATTATTGTTGTCTGCTAACATAGTGCAGAAAAGATTTCATTTAACTTCTAAAGTCTATATTTCGGTGAAATCAAATTCTATTTCAACGCCCTGAATCCAATGCGTATACGTTTTTAAGTGCGATCGCTTGCTGCCTTGTATTCCTTAGTTTTATGGCAGTCTAGCGGGCACAGCCACTTTTCAGTATGGCAATAACGTCAGTTGAGCAGTTGCCGCCATTTGCTGTGCCCGGTTGTTGCTGCGCTTAAATGAAGTCTTGTTGTTATTCATAGCTTTTTACGTGTAATTTTTAGATATAGGTAAGTTTTTCACTCAATTTGGACAGTTATCCTGCTTTTGTAGCACTGAATTATTGTGTTTCTGAAAGGTAAGTTAAAATGCCTTTGTTATGACTGGCCGGGTTGCTTCGGTTGCACTTGGAAACGGTCTTCCACTACTGCTGCATATGTTGTGACTGCCCGGCAGCGACCACGCGTGTAGTATGCTGCGTTTGCTAACTGCAGCGATATGTCAAGTACTGCATTGTCGTAGCTATTAGTCCTAACTTTCCTGTCACATTGGGGGACTGTTATGTTGGAAAAACGTACCATCAGTTGACACTAGACAGTTTGTTGTTTTCTGAAATGCCGTTACTGACTATTGCCGAATGCCGAAACTTGCTCTACTTTTAGCATACTAATAGTAATCATAAGTAATGCAATATTGCAATTCGCCTGTTTCTGTAACAGCTACCTATCCGATTCCGATGTATTTGTGAACTCCTAATTTATGCAACACCTTATGTTTTGGGGGATGTTTTTAAATGATTGCTGAGGTTCTACTATTGCTGATGTTTGTGAATCAAGATGTGGGTAGGCCAGTTGGTCCTTTTATTTTAATTTGGATTGATATTGTCATGGGACTGATCATCACTGATTTATAATCTTGTTTATTGTTAAGGGATTTATTTTATGGTTTGTTTTGCTTGGTAAGGACAGATTTCTGTAAATTAAGGTGATGAATGTTATATTGAAAATGCTTTCAGTGCCAAGTGACCCAATCTAGGATCAGAAAGCATAGTGGCAAACCAGAGATTTTTTAGAATCAGTTCAGTTTTAATTTCCTCATTTACTCAATATTTGAACCAATTTCTTACTGTCTTACATATGATAATGCTGGTATCCATGATACTTTACTGGTCCACTTATAGTACTCAAAATTGAACTTGAGGGAGAGTCTAAAAAACTCTCTGCCCTGTCACTATGTCAGAAAGCATATGTAGAATTTAGAAATACTCTCAAAGTCAAAGCTATGACCAGAGCTTTCCTGCTTCTCCAGAGTTGAAGATTTCTAATGTGAGAAATAGATCTTATTTTGTTGTGAAACTGCAGGATTGAACTGTAACTCCTGTAAGGCTGTAAGAGTTCAAATTTCCTGTAAATTTGGAATTGGATAATAATTTGAAACAAGATATTTTTGGTAAAAAGGCAATCTGTACCAATCTCTAAATTTAATTATCAAGTAGGGTAAACGTGGTATATTCCGGCACATTAAGGACGCATCGAGTAATGAAAAACTATAAAAAAATAACCGTATGGCGTATGCGTTACTCGAGTTCTGTTTTCTTTACGTGACTTTCAAAACACCGCACTATGCACCAGCAACAATGAAACGCCACAAAATGTTGCATATTTATTTAAAAGCCTTTAGACTGCAAACCTAACAAATCCCTATATTCCGACGCTGTGTGTGACTAAATTCGGCACATTGTGAGACGAATTCCGGCCACGCTTCAAACTCTACTAATACGTAATTTCAACATCTTTGTGTTCCAATCCTGATCGCTGTGAGCTGTATTGGAATACGACATGGCTTTGAATTAGAACACTATTAAATATTGAAGACTACTTAATTAGGCTTTTAATTAACAGCTATTAAGCTTTTAATTAAGAAAATTTTAATTTTGGCACACAACTCCAAACGAGCTGTGCGTGTCCAATTCAAGTTGTGTCGGAATTAGTTTTTATGTGTCTAAATCTGTTTCTTAACTTTATCATCTATTAATTTATTTACAACTTGAAATTAGCATATACAAGTATACTTAAAGGATTCCTAATATATTCACAGACTTATTTAAAAGTCTCAAACTATAATATTCTTTCTACACAAACAGTTTATCACTACTTGGTAGAGCAAGGTCAACTGTCAACTTTGACACATTTTTCGATGAACTCACTGCGTGGCGTGCACTGTCTCTCTTTGGATCTCAACATTTTCCTGCCAGATGGCCCAGACCTAGTGTTTTGGCAATAGTTTGGCGCGCAAAGGTATGACGTCACTATTTCAACCATCAACAAATGCGTGGAACTAAGACAAAGCTTAATATAAAGGAAAAACTAGAGAGGTGTCGGAATTACCCATGATGTCGGAATATACCACATTTACCCTATTAAGTAATATCTCCCAAACACAGCTCTATGAAACTTTGAACACATATTCATCAGAACCTAATGGTGATGTTTAGCTTGTATTTTTTTTTAAATTTTACCTTCATTTGTGAGTTACGCGTATATTGCGAAACAGGCTGAAATTCACAGTGATCAAAGAATTTCTGCCAAACTATTGAACAGATTTGCAAGAAATTTTAAATACACATTTCTAACTATCAAACTGTGATTTTTAGCTTATAAATTTTTTTTCAATCTTACCTTTGTTTGCAAGTTTTTTTTTTTTCATTTCACCGTCATTCTTGATTTCACACTTCCTTATATTCAGCCCGTATTGCTGGGTAATTTGTCAATTGAATTCGCAGCGATCAAGAAATTTCTTCTAAACTACATACAGATCAGATTTCAATGAAACTTTGTATATAAATACCTAACCTCTCAACAGTGATGTTTAGCTAGTGACAATTTTTTTATTTTTCCATTGTTCACGAGTTATACAGATATAGGAGGAACGACCTGCTTTTCTACCGGCCAGTCTAACCAAGAGCCTTATACGTATAGCCGTATAACTCTCAAACAAAGGCAAAGCGAAAAAATTGCAAACATCACCATTGATGAGATTAGGTATTTAAATACTAAGTTTCATTCAAATCTGTTTAGTAGTTTGGAAAAAATTTCTTGATCTCTGCAAATTTATTGATTACTGCAATTTATTGATTGATCTTGATTACTGCAAATATTGCTGTTTAAATCACGAATGAAGGTGAAATTGAAAAAAACTCAAACAAAGGCACAATAAAAATTTTTTCACAAGCTACATGTTCTGTAGTTAGGACTGTAAATTCAAAATTTTGTTCAAATCTGTTCAGTAGTTTAGAAGAAATTTTTTGATCACTCTGAATTTTGGCCCGTATTGCCATATAAATATGGCAAAAACAAGTGATGGCAAAATTCAAACAATTTTAACAAGCAAAACATTATTGTTAGGTCCTAATGAATATGTGTACCAAGTTTCATCACATTTAGTTCATTAGTTTGAGAGATATTCCTTGATCATTGAATTCGGAAGGTGGCCGTGGGACTGGCCGTTAATTTGTCTAACACATCAACCCAGGAAAGGTTAAAAAAACAGATCTGGGTGAAAAAACCATCGCTGGGTGTTATGTGCTGCACGTGTTGTGCACAAATCGTCAAACTAATGTTCGAACTTCTGACATTGACTTTGGACTACTGCCCCCTATTGCCCCTTAACGGTAAAGCGCCCCCCTTCATTACCGTCCCCCAAAATCTTTCCACTGCCCCATAGGGGGGCAATATTGCCCACTTTGGGAACCACTGCTCTAACTGCTTTGTATGATCTCAAACTTTAAAAATGATTTTGAATGTCCAGTGTATGTTCAAAGGGGTAATATTGGGCAGATGCAATTAGTGAATGAGACAATAATGACCATGCTTGGAAAAAATGTTTCCCATTTCCACAGCCCATGCCAAATTTCTTTGTGAAAATAGAGGAAATGGTGCATTTCTGGCTATGATTTTTTGAAAATCAGCTATGAAACAATTTTTTCTAGCTGCAATATTTGCCAATTCTTCCAATTAATCCATATTGGGTGTATGCATTCAATTTATTGAAACGCTATCATTAGTTATATATTATTTTAGAGTTAGGCTGTCTCTCCCTGGTAATCAGTGGTAAATCAGTGGCTCCTAACTTTTGCAATCACTTAACCACTTGATAAATCAGTGGCTCCAAAACTTTTGCAAGCTGGTGCTCCCTTGGTTCCCTACTGAATTCCAAGCACCCTCCACAGTAATGAATTTCTAGCACCCCTGCAGAGTTTGAATATTTTCAGAAATTCACTCTAGAAGCCCAGGAGAGGTTAAAAAATAACAGATCTGGGTGGAAAACCCCATTGCTGGGAGCTGTGTGCTGCATGCGATGTGTACAAATTGTCAAACAAACCTTCAAACTTCTAATTTTGACATTCAGACTGCCATCTCCCCACTGGCCTATTCATCATTACCACTCCCCCCATCCCAGACCTTTCCATATGCCCACTTTGGGAACCACTGTGGTACATCAACATATGCATGGGGCATATCAAAGCCATCATAATCAAACAATTGTCTTCTGGTAAATTCTTCTGTAGACTGTGCCTGAACATTCAACAGTGTAGTTTCTCAAAATGATGACACCATTTCACTTTTCATTTATGCAGATATGTCCAATTTGCATTCTAATGTATTGTTATTCTGTTGATGCGGTCCTAAACTTTGATCTTGCCTCAAACAGTCCTAGGAACTTCAGATTTGAAAAGGCTTGATAAAAATTATGGTAGTGCTATGTTGATTTTTCATTTTTATTATAATTTTTTACATTTAATTATTTTGGGTTGTGTTTATGATCAATTTGTCAATGGCCTATATATGTGATTCACCTTTCACATTCAATTTCTGAGTCTGTGTTTGATATTTCCAGCTGTTGAAATGCTCTCTTCCAATGCCATACAATTGTCTGTTGAATAATATTCCTGAGTCAGAAAGTAGCAATGTCAGAAGATTCAGTAACAGCCTTGGTCTTGGCAAGAGGAGGCAGCGTTTCCATTCCCAAAAAGAACATTTGTCATCTTGGTGGAGAGCCTCTGCTCACTCGCTGCATCCGTGAACTCAAGTCTGCCAAATGCTTTTCCAACATTTGGGTTAGCACAGATGATCAATCCATAGCACAAGTGGCTTTGTCTGCTGGTGCACAAGTTCATTGGAGAGCCAATTTCACAGCAACCAACGAGGCTTCTTCACTCTGTGCTGTGCAAGAGTTTTTGCAGCAACAGAAGCAGTGTTGTGTTGGTACTCTGTGTTTGGTACAGTGTACATCCCCTTTTTTAGAGGCATCTTATATAAGGCAAGGCATTAAGAAGATATTTGATGGTATTGCAGACTCTGTATTCACCGTCACTAGATCTCACTCTCTTCGTTGGTCTGAGATTGATGATTACATCACTCCCCTGAATTTTTGTCCATCAAATCGTCCTTCACGTCAGTCATGGCAAGGAGAACTATGTGAAAATGGAATGTTTTATATGACCAGTGCTGATGCAATTGTGAAAACTGGCTTGTTACAGAGTGGACGTTGCAGTGCTGTAATTGTAGACCCAGAGGACAGCCTAGATATTGATACACCATTAGATCTGTTTCAAGCTGAACTCATCCTCATGGCAAGACATATGCTTAGTGGGTTACCACCTGGTGCCCAGTGTGAAAAATTGAAAGAACTTTGTTCAGGTGTGCTTTGTTCAAAATGTAACTATGCATGTATTATTGCCTGATTCCTTAGCATCAGTAAGAATCAGTTGATGTTTCTTTTAAGTGGATACTCACTCTGAATTGTAGCTCATTTGCTTTATGAGTTGTGTATTTTATTTGCATCCTGGTTAACTCTTAGGCATAAGCTTTATGCTGATGATCATTGTTTCACATCAAGATTCTAGTTCTTCCCTCAATTTTTTTGTGCCATTTCTGTAAGCATATTTGCAGCCTTGACTTGATGAATTATTGTATTTTTTTACTTATGTTAAAAAATTTAATGATGTTACCTTACCCAATTCTTGAGCTCTGTAACAAATGATTTGCTGACTTTGTTCTGTACTTGATACTAAGGATCTTTTTATTACATTGCATAATTATATTACATTGCATTGCATTTCTTTCAATCAAAAGCTGAAAATTGAAATCTGACTTATGGTCGATTGTCTTGTGAAGTGAATTTATCATTGTACTTGTTGACTTGACAATGAATATGGCATGAGTTGAATAAATTTCAATCAGCTATTTCTAAACTGAAAAATAACATTATTGGTAATTTATCTTACTATTTGATGCTCTCCCACTAATATAGTTATATTTTTATTATTTTTAAAGTGAAATAACGATTGAAACAAAGTGAATAACAATTGTTTGATCCCCTCACTGTAAGAAAGCTGAATTCCACTAAGATGTATAAATTAGCAAACAAAAAATTGACAAAATTAACAGACCACTAAAGGCAATATGGTTTTTTGTAATGTTGTGTAATTATTACTTTTGTTTTCCCATGATTTTGTTTGCCTGGCATGTGGCTGAAGAATGTTTCTATCGCTGAATAATGTTTTTTTCTTATTATTATTATTTCTGTATGTATAAATAGTTCTATTTTTGTTAATAAACAATAAAAGTTGACATTTTTTTATCTCTCCTTGACTATTGTGGATATCACTCTCTCTCCCCTGGCTGTATTCTAGCCTATGGACTTTGCTTAGTGGTTCAGTCCTATTTAACCCTTTAATGCCCAGGTGTACCGTATGGTGGCCTTTCAAATATGCTCCATAATATTTTCATGATAAAGAATTGGCGCTAATTGTTTTGAACATGTTTGGTATATATCCCTGCTTTGTTTTGGTGGTGCAACTCTGCTCTCCGCCACCAACTATGCAGTACAGCACTGATCTTGTAGGGAATTTGTGTTGCCATTCAAGAAAGTGTGGTCATTAAAGGGTTAAGCATCACTTGATTAAAGTGACATGACAGGAAGTTGTTTACTTCACGACACTAGGGCGGTTGTGGGGGCTTGTATACTTCTCAAGGAATGTTATTTGTCATCAGCCACATTGTTAGCTGCATCAATGATGTATTGAAGGTTGCAATTAGTTTATCTTAATTAAGCTTGTTGGTCTTGTTGATTTTTATCATTTTGCATTCCACTTTGCAGTGATGGCGGAGAGAGCTGAGGGTAGTGGCTGGGAGGACTCTCCCAATTCTGAGGAGCGGACTCCTGATTATCACAAATTATTAGAATATGGCCTTAATGAGAAGGTTTCCCTTAAACTTGACCAGATATACCAACAAGGGAAGCTGAGGCATGAGGTAAGAGACCTAATTCAAGGAATAATTTGTTACTGAACCTTATACCGGTGGTTTGGATTTCAATGGGGTATAGATAATTTAATTTATATCAATTAGTGGGAAAAAATTGTACCATACCACAGTGATATATGCAGTCTAAGCCATTCTTGGTTTGGAAAAAATCCATAAATATTGTGAATTGACATAGATGGTGAATTGATGGCTAGGTGACTAGTTAGTAACCCATCATTTTTGTTTTCATCTTGATATTAAATTATAGTTTTGATTAGATGCCTTGCCAGACATAGGTGTAGTATGTGGGACAGCTGATGAATTTCAATTACTGCAAAGCTTGTGTATTTCTTTTGCCATTGGCTTGTTAGTGATATTAAATATTGAAACTATTATGTTTTTTAGGATCTGGATGAGCGTGCGCTGGATGCCCTAAAGGAGTTCCCTGTAGACGGAGCTCTGTCAGTCCTCAAGCAGGTGCTGGATAGCAACCTGGAACACGTCTCAAATAAGTCAGCTTATTTGTGCGGCGTCATGAAGACTTATCGCCAGAGAAAGCAGTACAATGGTGAGCCTTTATAATCTGGACTTTCTGTAGGTCTTATGCTTCTTGAGTTGCTTCTTCATTTTGTATGATATTTTTGTGTGATTATTACCTACCGGGGATGCAGCAGAAAAGTTTTTTTTTTATAAATTTGTACTCCTGGCTATGTGGGATAGTGAAGTTCTATTTGCTAGTACTAATTATGGTTTGACGTTTAATTCATTACTGCAACGACAATCAAAATGACTCGACAAATAATTATTTAATTCTGAGCAGTTTTGAAAAAAAACTATGATGATCAACTCAACTAGGCTTGACGTGAAATGTATTCAAGTGTTTGTTCATTTTTTAAAGAATAGAAGTTATTCAAATTTTTAAACGGAAAAGTTTGACAGAATGGTCTGAATTTTATATATACCTAGTTACCAGTGTTATCAACTGAGCCATGATCAATAATTTACTTCTATTTGTTGCTTGATATGCGTTACTATTTTACTTTTTAATATATCAAACAATAGACATTTTGTTATGATGTCATATTGCTTTAAAATTTTGATTGGATTTAAATTTGGTATCACAACTTGTTTTATTAAATTTATTTGTTGAATTTTGATCAATTTAAGATGATGTATGAAGTTGTGTTACATTTTCCATACACTTGCTGATGTTTATAGTGTGTTTACAGATGGGAATGGCAGTGGGAGCTTTAACCCCTGTGGCTCGGGACCAAATGAAGAGAAATTGAGGGCCATTCTGGACCGCACTGGCTACACACTTGACGTGACTACGGGACAGCGCAAGTATGGCGGCCCTCCTCCTAACTGGGATGGTCCCCCTCCTGGCCCTGGCTGCGAGGTAATCACAATATCATATACATACTAAAAATGATAGAAGTCAATCAATGCAATAAATACTTTTTATTTGAGAAGACAAAAAAATATTGACGGATTCTTTCCAATTCACCCGAGAAGACAAGAAAATGTTGACGTACTTTTTCCAACAAAGTAACGCCTCACACCTTATTTCTGTTTGTGATTTTAAAATGAGAAGAATGAATTACTTCTTCATTTTGTATGATATTTTTTATGTGATTATTACCTACCGGGGATGCAGCAGAAGAGTTTTTTCTATAAATTTTCACCCCAGGCTTTGTGGGATAGTACAGTTCTATTCACTAGTACGTACTGATTTTGGTTTGACGCTCAGTTTTATATATTACTGCAACGAGAATCAAAATGACTTTACTAACAATTATTATATGACTTGACTAACAATTATTATACCCCTTAACTAACACTTATTATACGACTTTACTAACAATTATTATGCAAATTCATACTCCTGTGAAGCGACTTCAAGGTAAAGAGGGTTTTATGATCATGCTTTGTTTGCAGGTTTTCTGTGGTAAAATCCCAAAAGAGCTGTACGAAGATGAGCTCATTCCACTGTTCGAGAAGTGCGGCGACGTGTGGGACTTACGTCTCATGATGGATCCTTTGACAGGACAGAACAGAGGCTATGCTTTTGTTACCTTCACCTCGCGCTCAGGCGCTGACCAGGCCGTCGCCACGGTGAGGCTACAGCATTTCCTTCTCACAGCATTTACTTACAATGTACAAGGGTTATAGTGAATGTGGGTTGACTGGTGATCTTTCATTGATGGAATATGCGATTAAAGAAAACGTGATTGATTATATAGTAAGTTTAACTGGATTTTGAGAAAATATATAGATTTAGCTCCATTATCTCAAGCCTCCGACTTCAGAAGTTAAAAAACCAGATTGACTACATAGTAAGTTCAGCTAGATTTTGAGAAAATATATAAAGATTTAGCTCCATTATCTCAAGCCTCCTGGTTCAGAAGTAGAGAGATGTGGATGCGAACAGTAAATCTGTAAATAAAGGATACATTTTTTTCAGTCATTTCAGCATTGCGTCATGGGTGGAGGGAATGGTATGAAGCCCGAAATTTCATTGTCCTGATAAGCTTTTCATTTATACCGTTGGAGTATTCCTGAAGGGTCGCTTCTGATATTTTTTCAGTCACATGATATAATTTTGAACATCTGTTTGAAATGATATATGTTTTTTTAGATTTAATTGCCAAATTACGAGACATTGAATTACTATTTCAGTGCTTTTGAAAATTCTAATTTTTATTTCACTCATTTGCTACAAATTTTTCGATACTATCTACTATGAATTTGAAATATCTTACAATATTCTAATGTACCAATAATTTAACCTGTGCCTCCAGTGTAGAAGTTTTTGCTAAATTTGCAGGATTTCTTTTTTATTCAGAGAAAAAAGCTGATATACAAATAAATATATGTCTCTACAGTCGGAACACAGCAGGTTCATGTTGATTTGAACAAGAATTGCATAAATATTGTTGATAATCTTGCTTTTTTGCTACATCAATGAGTCTTCATTGTTGCTAAAAAAGCGGCGATAAGGCTCCGAAAAAAGTCTTCACTAAGACTGCAGTCATGTTTAAGTCGTTAATTGGGTGGTAGGCTGGGCTAGGTGGTAATGGTTAGTGCCGGTGTAGGGTGCTCTATAAGTGGCTTCTTACAAGCGATGGGGTCGTTGTTAAGCTGTAAATTTACTTGACCGTTGTCTTATATGTTTAGATTGTGAGCTGTTGTGTCTCTTATCTGTGTAATATCGTAGCTGAATATCTCATTTTGATGCAGATCATGCGTTCATTCTTTCATGTTAGTGGATGTGTACGATGTCAATCAAGATGTTCCGTGTGAGTGAGGCTGAGGGTTCTTGTGCTCATGTCTGTACAACTTCTAAACATGGTCACTGAAAAACTATATTATTTTGCTCGTCCCAGCGACTTTCTCCAATAGTGCAATACTTTGGGTTATCAGTAAGATATTGAACATACGTTTTAGTACTTAAGTAACAAATAAGGTTCTTTTTATAAGCCATAAGTCTGTCATTTGCGCTATTGGGGATTCAGATTTGGACTGTTCATACTCGGACCAACAATCAAGCGGCTCCTGAATTCTCTCATCTAACTTCAATTTCACTTCAGTTTGATCAGTGACCATGAGTGAGCGTGAATGCGGTGTGTTATCGAAATATATTTTTCCATTTAATAGCTTCAGTTTACTCTAATGCTTCTCAGTCTTCTTTGCTAGCACTTCGAACAATTTTTTCCGCTGGTGATCGCTGGCTGCAGCCAGTAATAAAGTCAAAACTTAACAAGTTGCATCCCATCTCTTAGTTTCTTGTGATCGTTGATTGACTTAGACCATGTGTCTGCGATTTTTACATGATTTTTACGTTTCATTTAAAGCATTCAATGAATCAAGTTTGTATTTTCTCCCTCGAGCTTATCGTTTAATTTAATTCAGAATCGTAAGTGCTACCAGATTGAAAGGCATTAGTGTGACGCCTGAGAGTTGGAGTGAGGTGGAGACGCTTGTGTGCTGCGGCGCTGTGTGTAACAATGATGCTTCAAGCCAGTCAATCCTAAATTCAACTCTGGTCTTTGAGTTAACAGTCAATTTAGTCACGCGATTTGTGACGAGTTATATAGTCATTTCTTCCTATTAAGTCCTGGCAGTAAAATGAGTCTGGAGTGCGACTTCAATGTTCTGAAGGAAAAAGTGACGTTGACGAAACGGCATGCTGATTTTGCCTTTTTACTATCTCGCTGTTAAAAACGCATTTATATTTAGTGATTGGCTAGAAGCATTGTTTGTTTGTGAGCGAGCTATGACTACATTTAGTGCATAAATTATAGTCTCATTGGTTCATCGTATAAATAGACTTCATTCCTTCTCTTTCGCAGCTTGATAATTACAATATTCGCGAAAATGTGGCCCTCAAAGTCAATGTTAGTATACCTAACCTTCGGCTGTTTGTGGGCAACATTCCCAAATCAAAGTCGAAGGATGAAATACAGGAAGAATTTGCAAACCGCACAGGTAAAGTGAGAATTTTGAATGCCCAGCTGAAGTATCATTACTCATGTTCGTTGTTTGTGTTTGGTGTGCTCTTTGGCTTGAAGAGCGCACTGTAGCATTGATATCTGATGCTGCGGCCTGGCGAAGCACTAATGTGTTTTTGCACACTATTGCTACGTTGGTCGAACTGTACGTCATGTATGAAGGGTGTGGATGATGTAGGGTCATCGACTTAACACCAGTCGTGTCTTAATTATCACTAGCAACTTCTTATCTCCAGATGCCTACTGCTCTCGTCATATTTTTTATGACTTCTCTCCCAATTTTCCAAGATCTTTGACTACTGCACTCAAGTGAGGTTTAGCCTTCGTCTTTCACTTCTCTTCTACTATTTCTTCTATTGCCACAACAAAATTGTGTGTCCACATTTATACTCAGCGTTAGAGATTATCTGTTATTGATCCCAATTTTGGCTGTTCCTGCCTCAAGTCAAATTGTGTTGTTTTTTGCAGCTGAATGATTATGAAATTCAGCGCGGCAAAAAGTTAGGCGTAACTATATCGTACAACAATCATCGCTTGTTCGTAGGGAATATCCCTAAGAACAGGGAGCGCCAAGAGCTTTTAGAGGAATTTGGCAAACACGCACGTAAGTTGCAAGGCGCCTCGTGGCCGCCATCTGTCACCCACCATCAAACCATCGTGACTTGCATCAACGCACATCGTGCCATAATCTCCTTACAAATATCTATCAGTCACTACATTGCTCGGCCAAACCTTCTCTTTCATCATGAACTCTTTACGTTGCTACTCTTCTTCCTGTCATATCTCTTCATCTTGAGTAGAATTGCGGTGTATCTCTAGATATGTTCGGGAAGCGGTGTCGGCTACTCTAAAACGCAGGTTTAATTCAACAGTGCTTATAATTTATTCCAGGTTCCTGATTTAGTTTAAATTTGTAGGCTTGAATACTTTTTTAGTTTGCTTCGTATGTAAACGTTTATTGATCTTATCCATTAGCTGCATGCCAATATTAAGCTTCTCGGTGCAAAATCTAGCCAGTCTTTGAATTTTTTTCTCCCATTGAAAGTTTTTTCATTAACATTCTTTCATTACTCATTTTCTTCTAATCCCGTTTAATTTATCTCACGTGACAGTTTTGCATCTGCATTGTTTATTTCGATGATGGAATTCATTTGTATTTATCAATGAGAAGAGTAAGATCATATGTCGCTATTGCAGACGTCGTTCATAGCTTTGCACTCAGCAATGTTCTCTACTAGCTTCTTCATCCATCATCAATGCTTGAGTTTCATCATCAATCTCAATTTTTTCGACCTAGTTTTAATTTTGCATGCTTTTTCGTTTGTGTCCTGTTATCAGGGTTCTTTTGCCATACGTGATGCTTTTAATTCTTAGCTCGCAGCGGAAAGGGATCACAGTTCTACTAATCAGATGCTCATTCTCTTTAGGTTACCACATCAACGCATTCTTGATTATTTGACACGAGAAATGCTAACGCAGCAAATGCTACGAGGAACCGTACCTTACCTATATACCAATATTTTAGCGTCTATACTGCTTTATCATAAAATTTATTGTCTTGCTGTTGCCCTGAGCTATTTAGGATAATCATTTAAATTCGATTTTGGTAAACGTAGCTTTGCTTCATTCTTTTTGCCCTGCGTCCATGGATCCATTCTGAGAAACTGGTTCGCATGTTGCGTCAAGCAGCGTTTGTTACCAATGAATATCACACCGGTAACGAATTGCTGTGAATTAACGAGTATCACAGCGTAACAAATTGCGTCATAAGTGAGATAGAACCGCACTCGCCTGATCATTGCTCACACTATTTGCTTTCTAACTTTGTTCATCATTGAGGTTGCCTGAAGAATTGGTTCATGCCTAACATTTATGCTATGTGGTGCTCTTGCTTCAATCACTCGATTGCAAATTTCAAAGCCGTTTTAGTTTCTCCATGCATTTCCACTCTCATGGACCATAGATACCGCCACCCCCTCATGACACTAGTCACAGTCTCGCTCCGTCTGCTGTTCCGGAAGGTGCCTGCCATATTTAAGCTTGAAACTTATGATTCTGCTTAAAAGCCTTTTCAAAATTCTATTTTTATACGTGGAGTTATCATTCGATATTTTTGTTAAACTCTATATTAAGAGTATCAGTTGAAATAAACTTGTTTAGAATGTAAGAATGAAGGCCGTAATTAGAGAAAATATTGAAGTAATGTAAAATTTTCCTTAACTGAAATCTCGATAATGTTCTGTGTTGGTTTTGCCTTGAGAGAATCTATACGAGTCTCTTGAACTAAATTCAAATACTTCTTTTAACTTTAACTGCACGTTTAACTTATTAAGGCCAGGCTAAAGCTTACGCGTTTTTTATTTTGTCCAAATTCAAACCCAAGATTGAATTACCGAATTGGCTGTAATAATATAGTGCACTGCCACGTTGTACGCGTGAGAACGAGACGCAAGCATCGGCCGAGCATGACGAACTGAGAGTCTCACCAGCCGCTGCCATCTCATGCCAACTCTGTTGCAACGTGCTCTGCTCCGATCTCGCACCAAGCACGATCTTTATAGCCGGTCACACGTGACCTATAAGCCTCTTACGTTATTATTATTCAATTATTTATCTCTCAAATTAATTTAGTTCCATCTAGTAATCTCTCGTTATCTGTGGCCACTTTGAATTTTGTATGCTGAAAGGGCTGTTGGATTCTTCAAACAAATTAAAATGGCTCTGTTTTGCATTGTTCTCATATCTTTGCAATGCAAGGTAGAATTTTCTCTGATTTTAATGGAATTGACTTCTTTGCTCATCTTATGGCCTGCGATAAAATTTCGGATAAAAAACTCTCTGAATAAATTTTGCTTACAATTTGAATTAACCGGCTTGATATCAACTGGCTAAGGGACCGGAGCGAGCACGGGTGCTGTCAGAGCAATCGGTTGCATAAGCTGATTCGTCCATGATCAAAATGTCACCATATTTTTACACAATATTGAAATATCTTGAAATACTGGAAACGAATTATATGCATTATATTATTTTATTTTTAATTCAATGTCGTGTAAGATAATCGCTACACTTGACTCATGCCAGTTCTAGTGTCTGATAAACGTTCATTATATCTCAGCTGGACTCGTGGAAGTGATCATCTACAGCAGTCCTGATGACAAGAAGAAGAACAGAGGCTTCTGCTTCCTTGAGTACGAGTCGCATAAGGTAAGCCTTCATTCTTCGTGGTTAGGATTTTATGTACAGTAAAGTTTCTTGCTTTATTCAGTAAGAATGAAGGTTTGAATAAAAGATCACACTGAAGTGTTGAGCTTAATTAATTATACTCACCTTGCTTAATTTAAGCTATTGCTCTTCTTAAGTCACCGTAGTTGTATTTTAGTTCGCCTGTTAGTAATATTGATAGCAAGTGGATTATATAATTATTATTAAAAGAGAATTTACAAGTGTAATTAAAGTTTGCAAATTCAAATTCTTCAGAAATTGCTATTTACGAGAAAATTATATGTTTGAATTCTTGAAGGGATTTTCATATACCTAATTCATTGTATCGGGTAAAGTATGTGTCTGTCATGCACATATCATCGTGCATGACATGTACTCGCGCGTTCATAGCACAACTGCCCTGAATTTATGTAATGACGCTGGCTTCTCCTATGTCACCCTTCACTGATAACTATCTATCATGGTTAACCCTTAAATTCAGGTGTGAGTCTTGGAAACTATTGGCAGGAATAAAAGAGGTCTTGCAGGTATTTCTGTGGTTTATAAACACTGTTAGTCGTGTTGCAGCAGTTCAAATTGATAGTTTTTTCTTATAACTCAGGCTGCATCGCTGGCCAAGCGACGGCTGTCGTCAGGACGCCTCAAAGTTTGGGGCTGCGAGATCATTGTTGACTGGGCCGACCCTCAGGAGGAGCCTGATGATGATACCATGTCCAAGGTCAGCTAAATATATTGCCACTTGTGTTGTACCATTTGTGATGTCTTGTCGAGGTAGAGGTGATGGAATGAACGTTTTTACGCCAGTATGGATACTGGCGGAACGTCCGGATCGATTACATACTGAACGTCTGGCTTGAAGATCAAGTTTCTCACGAGTTTTGATACTGCGTGCTGTTTATACCTACAGGAAAATAGCTAAATTATCATACCGAACTGTATGTTGAGCATCATCGCTCACTGATGTTTAAATGAAACTTTTCTCTTTTTTTTTTTGTAAAATTGATTCGATTTATTTTTATTTTATTTGGTTCAGATTGCTTCCATAGGTAACCTAGATATACACTAGAGTAAGATTACCTCAAATTTCTGTCTCTCCATATTTTCGTTTTCTTCTTGGTCAGTGCCATCGACTTCTAAGAAACGTTCATTATGTAATTATGATGGTTAAAAAAGGTTTTTCCGTGTGCAGGTGAAAGTTCTCTATGTGAGAAACCTGACGCAGGCAACGACTGAAGACATGATCAAAGAAACTTTTGAACAGTTCGGCACCGTTGAACGCGTCAAGAAGATCAAAGACTACGCATTTGTGCACTACGACGAAAGAGATGCTGCAGTCAAGGTTCGCTCCTCCTACTATAGTACCCTAGCTAACCGGCAGCTTGATTTAAATACTTAATTCTCGAGCATCTACGTGTCTGCAGTACCAACCTATTTTCTCACGTTTTTTAATTTTAATGTCAAATTATGTTTATTATTTCATTTGTTACCTGTACATCAGGTAACAAATGCTAAATAGAATGCATAATTTTAATTTTGTACCGACAATTTTCGGTACAATTTGTCAAATAATACATATATTTCAGAGCATTATGATATCACTTATTTGGCCAAATTATCAATAAGAAAGCGATATACAAGATGTAATTATGCAAAGCAAATTCTTACAGGCAATGACCAGCTTGCAAAATTCTGATTTGGGAGGGGCTAACATGGAGATCTCCCTGGCCAAACCTCCTTCTGACAAGAAGAAGAAAGAAGAGATTCTCCTTAAGAGAGAAAAGCGCCTCATGCAAATGCTCACACAAAGAGGGTCAGTGAAACTTGTACTGATTCCGTTTGTTTAATCTCAGTTAGATCAACGTGATGACCAAAAATAAAATCAAAAAAGGGCATTTCCAGGTTCAGGCAGAATGTTGAGAGAGTGTACATTCTGGTTGAATGTTCAGAAAGTGTAGAGTTTTTTTTTTTTGCAGAATCAATACAGAAATTGTCCACATATATGAACTAAGTTTCAGCAGAGAAATTGTGTGAATTTTGGTAGAATCAGGGTATTGTGAAGATTCTGGTAGAATCAAATAAGGAATTGCCCAGATTTAGGCAAAATCAGTTGGAAATTTTCCTAATTTGATAGCTTGATATCAGAATCACTGGTTATTTTTTATCACTGGTACCAACGACCCGAGATAAACTCTTCAGTCTCGGTGCTGTTCTTCTAAAATCTAAACATTGTCGTTCTAAATCTTGTCTTGCTTTTCAGCGATAGGTACCTTCTCTTTCGGCTTGAGGTCTCAGTGGGAATGCTTGTTTGTTGCACATTATCCTCGAAATGCGACGGATAACTGAAGTTGTTTACCTATATGTAAATGTAAGCTTTGTAAAAATATCTTGGTCATTATGCAACTCTCGTCCCCATCGATGTCTCATGCAAGTTATTCATCGTGTTTATGCATCTTATATTTTACTTCTTCTGTCAGAGTTGTTTATTTGATTCGTCTGTGGATGAGCTTGCAGTATTTCACGTAATGAGTGTGGCCGTACATTGTTAGCTACTAATTGAGGTCAGATGTAAAGGTCATCTTTACTATCTTTGGATGCGTTATTTCTGTTTATTCCTCCCAGTTTTCATTTTGTTATCTTCTAACGATTCTGTTTAAGTGTCTTCATTTAACCACAAATAAGTAGATAAAATATTTGAGTTTCAGTTCGGTATTTCACTCCACTGGTGTATGGTGGTCATTTCATCATGTACGAAGCAAAAAACAGGCTGCTTCACGTAGCTTCTACATGAAGTTACCGATGGTTACTTTAGATTAATCCATCCCTTTGATCGGAATCAACGGAACTCGATTAAAACAGACGTCAAGAGTCGAGTTTATGTCCATGCTTTTATTAATGAATAGTTTTTACTAATCATTTGTTGCTGGGAAGCCTCTGTTTATCCGAAGTAGTGTTCGCTGGACTGGCTTAATAGCACGTAGTAACAAATTATTCTCCTGCTTTTAATTCTTTGTATTACAAGTTAGGATCTGCCGCCTGTGTCAGCATTGATTAATATTTTTCTCTCGTTGCAGGATGCCTGTTCCTCCAGCGATGATGCGCAGCGGAGGAGGGATGGGAGGGCGAGGGGGGAGAGGGGGCGGAGGTCGTGGTGGGGGTGACTACGGTAAGTGGTGGGGTTACTACAATCAGTACTGGGGTTGGCCCACTCCCCCCCACCAGCGACACAACCACTCCAACTATTACTCCAACAATTACAATTGGTACTATTGAGGCTGTCACCTTCTCAATGGTCGTTTGCGCTGTGTAGACGTGCGCTCTTGTTGGGTACATTTGCTCCCCATTGATGTCTGGTCACTCATGTTGCAGGCTGTCCACTCGCGGCTGTTGTCTGGTCACTCATGTTGCAGGCTGCACACTCGCGACTGTTGTCTGGTCACTCATGTTGCAGGCTGTCCACTCGCGGCTGTTGTCGTCTGGTCACTCATGTTGCAGGCTGTCCACTCGCGACTGTTGTCTGGTCACTCATGTTGCAGGCTGCACACTCGCGACTGTTGTTGTCTGGTCACTCATGTTGCAGGCTGTCCACTCGCGACTGTTGTCGTTCGTTGATTTGACGTTCTCGTAGTTTAGCAATGCTGCAGTTGTCAGTTGCACATCTCAGATCGATACTTCGTTCTCATTACACTGTTCAGTGATTGTGCTGTGTTGGCTTGTTATTTCACTGCCGGCGTTACGACTATTCGATAAACTTCTTGTTCTTTTTGGTACCCGGTTATAAGAAACTTGTTACATTGACCAGACGCGAATTGGGTTCTGAGTTCCGACACGAGCACGCGTCTATCACAGCGCTTGGCTATCCAGCTTTCTGCCTCTCACTATAACGATCCTGCTGTTGCACTTGATATTAATTCAACAAATTTTATTGTGGCTGCTAAAAAGATTGTTGAAATCTAAAACTGTCTTCCTGAGTGATTCATGTTCAGTGCCAAATTGCAAATTTACCTGCAGGGAATTTATCCAGTGATACACGTTTCTACTCAAATTACAACCTTTGAATTGATCTGTTGTTATGATGTGTTTTCTATGTTTTGTTATCAGACTCGCCAACGTTCAGAACAAATGATATGTTGAGGAAGCAGCAGTCGTTATTGGTAGAAAGTAAGATAAGCCTCAAATTTGTTGCGTTCATCCATTCAAATTTTACTAAGACCAAGAAGAAAAAGTTGATTGTTTCCGAGTTGTGGTGTAAGGAGGTGTTAATGGTGATCTGTCAAGGCATTGTGTGATGTATCTAAGGTATGATGAGTGTACAGAAGAAATTTATGGAATCAATTGTAAAATTTCTTTAATAGAGCAGAATTTGAATTCTTAGGAGCATTAAATTTTGCTAAGTAATTCTTGTACTCTTGGTTATAAATGCCAGGCCATCAGGTTTTAGTAGATGTTTCCTTTGTTACATTTCCATGGATGAGTTTTTTTAGTTTGATATTCCAATTTTTTGCACCGGTTGCTGCTCCTGGCATCTGGAAGCTAACGAGCATCGGTCATTTGAACCGATCTTGCATTACTGTGCGCCATGCCACTTTTTCTCAAGTCTTCATTATAAGCTGTACTCTTACGCATTTTGATATGTCTTAAGTTTTTAGCTTGTTTAAGAGCCTCGCCAGCTTTGTTTTTATCACTACGATGAAGTTCCCATAGCGTAAGCAAATCTTGCCGTGGCGTGTTCCGCATCGGCCTTCTTCGCCTGACTTGATCTCTTAAAACTCTGAACGATCGCAGCTTTTTGACGTAATATTCTACAACCGTAGCTTTTTTACTTAAATTTGGTTATAAACATCTTTTAAGGTAAACCTTTACCGTTTCTTTGTTTCATGACATTTGAGACTTTGAGGCATACGCTGATTTATGTTTTCTTGCACTTTGACTTGCCTCCTGGCATTAATGTAATTTTTTATCATTTGATGAATTCGATAAGCCAATGAATTCTAAATTTTATCAAAATCTCGTGTAGTGGTCAAGCACAAGTTTTGCAGTCGTGTACTCGTGTTTAAAAACCAAGACCCTTCGCTGTAGCCCATTATGCTCATTCATTTATAAATCTTGAGGTCATTCGGGAAGAGTTTGTGACGTGATGGGCTGAGCGACGCAGGCCGATGCGACCCATAGAAGCGGTGCCAGACAGTCCCAGTTTTATTTACTACGCTTTCAGTCAGTCTGCAAAGAAGGCAGCTCTCTGATGCTGCACTATAATCTTCTCTTTGTTAGCTTGTTTTGTTTTCCTTCTCTCCATAATTCTAGTATTAGTGAGAACTTTGTGCGGTGTTGGTAGTATGACCAGCCCCTGGCCGCCATGGGATGCTTGTACATACACGATCTCCTTCACTACATAACCATCTTATGCACCAGCGCAACGCTTACGCAGGCCTTAGGCTCTTCTTACATGTTCATATGAGACGAGACAATGACCGAAGCAATGAAGCACATACTTGTGCTGCTTCTAGTTCAGAATATTCTTTCTCAGCTCCACACCCGCGCTGACCTTACGTTCAGACTTCAGTTTGTCATATATCCTTACTTATATTGCGTGATGCTATTTTAAATTTGAGTTTCGGATAATTTTGACGAATTTTTATCAAATTTCTCATGAATTTATCACGTTATTTTGTATGAAGGTGTTATACACGAGTTCTTTGCATCCTGATTGATTTTAGCTGTTGAGTTGTTTTGCGTTTCATTTCACTCGACTCGAAAATTCACGACAAATTTAGCGTTGTTCGTTATGACGTAAGCGAGAGCAAGGGGCTAGTGCTAGTTTGATGTGGCACCGCGCCCAGCTACTTCTGGTCCTCTGTACAATGATCTGTAGTTGCGGTCATCAAAAATAAATTCGCTCTCATAAGTTTGCATGGCTCTTTTTCTTCCTTCTTTAGTTTTGTAGGTAAAGGAAGTTATCAGAGAGGATGGGTGACCTGCATCCGCTCTCACTGTTTCTTGTGTGATGAAGTATCATGTAGAAGATTTTAATGTGAAAATATTACTAGTGTTACTTATCTCACGTGTGTTGTTATCACTTTTCTAGATTATGATTACGACTATTACGGTTACGGCGATTATCCAGGAGGCTACCGTGATCCCTATTATGAAGACTATTTCCGAATCGACGATTTCTATTACCCACCTGAGTACAGTCACGGAGGTCCGCCTCCTCCGATGGGTGGTCCACGCTACAAACCCATGCCGGTGGGTGCTGCCGCTGCTCACTTCTTCCTAGATCCTAATCCATACCCTAACAGAATTTAGAGTCGCCCCACTTGCTGGTAATCCAAATCAGAAGCTGCCGCGTCTGTAAATTTTCACTGGGTAACAAAATTTAGAGTCGCCCCAGCTTCTGGTAATTCAAATCAGAAGCTGCCGCGTCTGTAAATTTTCACTGGGAACTACAGGGATCTTTTCATCCAAGAGGGATACACAGATATTGTTGCTGCACTTGAGATAAACGATGAGTTGTAAAACAAAGCATAACATCGGAGAGCTATAATTTTGATACCGCCACATATTTTTGTGGTCATTTTTACCTCTGAAAGTAATTTGAATATTCTTGAGAACTAAGAATTATTTTGAAATTATTTAATGGAGTATTTTTAACTAGACTTACCTAGCTGAACTGTTATAAATTCTAGCTTTTGATGCATGGTTTTGCTACAGACTTTTTTCTTTCCAAAATTTAATTTATATGGAAGTTGGATGATCGTATTAGGTATTATTGTTGACCGTGAAAAGCAGTCTTACTTTTATACTCGGTTGAGAAAAGGCTTTCACATTCCCCTCGCTCAGTAATTTGACAAGGCCTAGTGAATTGGTGGAATTACTGCACAATTGAGCGTCGGCACGGTTGGATGGTTAAATCTCAGTCTTATGTCAACACCGGTACTCGCAACTTCGATGTAAATTCACTGCTAATGGCAGATTTTTCTATGCGCACATTTTTCAACTAAATAACACAAACGAATTCTGTTCACGGGTATAAAATTTTAATTTTGCTCAAGCTTTATTTTCTTATGATCAATGAGGTGAGAATTTTTGCTGGTGTTTGATGATCCACAAAGACAGAGTTGGCTTCTGAGGCAGGGACCTCGAGATCTAGACGGGCTCTTGGCTTGTTTGTAAATTAACATGGCATTTCTTTATGAGATCTGCAACTTGGGATGATATTTTTCTTTGCGTGAGTAAACTTCAATTGTTTTTTGTTTGAATGATCGATTTGAATTTTTCGTTTTCAAATTTTCTTTCTTCGTTTGCAACGATCGTTTGTAATTATAATATTTTTGATTGTCTTGTTCTTGAAAGTCCGGTTCTTGGCTCTGCAAATGAGCGGTACTGAGCGCCACAGGTGTATCGCTGTTACCACTCATCCGCAGTCGGGTAAGATACACGGTACTAGGTTGGGGTTAGTTACGCTAGACTTATATGGCTTAAGTTTAGCTAGTTAGAAGTGCTTATGAATAGCTTGGTATTGTCCTGGCCCCCCTCCCCCTCTCCCTCCACCCCGTATCCCAGTGTCGCCACACACACTCCCCAGCATGAGCTCACGCCTCATGTCCGGTCTCTCCCACACAGAGTGGCCCCCGCGGTTACGGTGGCATGGTGAGTCGTGGGGCCCGCGCCCCCCTCCCACCTGGCCCCTCCCCCCCTCACCGTATCCCGGGCCGGGGGGCCATGGGCCCGCCACCTCTTTCGACCAGCCGAGGTGGGCCTATGGGCCGTTTAGGGGGGCGACCTGGTGTTGGGCGAGGGGGCGGGTACAGAGGGGGGCCATCCTCTACGCGGGGCGCTAATTTAGCAGGTGAGTTGCGTCTCGCAACCCCACAGTATTACTTCACTTAAAAGCTTTACTTAAGTCACTACTTAGATTGCAATCTCTGAGTTGATCACTTGCACCATCCTAGGTTCTCTCTCTATTGTATCAGCCTTATGAGCTCACGTCTTGTCATCTTAGTATTCTGAACATCACGAACGAAGTCGTCCGTAATTCATGGCCATAAATAAAGCCGCTGATTATTATTAATCACTGGACAATAATCAAAATCAATTATGACACTGATAGATTTTGGCCGCCTAGTTGCACAAATCTTTCAATATCAGCCACTTACGTCGCTCTGTACAGTACACAGATGTGCTTTCTTGTGCCTCGAAACTGGCGTTTCGTGCCTTTAAATTGTTGGCCGATGCTGGCAATTATTAACGTCATCATTTAGGTTCATGTTGCCTAATTCTTTGTACATAATGTGCATCCTGTCGCGTATTCAAAGTACTTGCTGACGATGACCAAAGATGTAGACTCGATTCCAGATTCAAGTAGATACGTTGCTTGGACTAACGTTACATATTTGAGTGAGACGTGAGTGGTCATGAAACATGAATTTTGAGATAGATAGAACAGCAATGATCAGATTAAGTCTCAGTCGAAGTTTTGAGTGTGAGTGTCAGCAACTCTACCTCACCATAACTCCTATTATTCCTAATATTCTTTGCTTTCTCTTTTGACTGGAATTTCAATTAGATGAAGCATGAGGTAGATTTTATGGCTTATCACTTTCCTAGTATAGATGTTTAAATATTTAGGGCAATTCTTAGGCTGTATTTTAGTTAATTTTTTAATCATGTAGATATTGTGTTAAACGGTCGTGTCATCCATGTCTTCGCTGTTGTATCGTGCTCAAGTTACTTACAATGGACCATTGTGTTTGGTGTACACAATATTACCATTAATGGTACACCGGCCTTTGTGTTCATGCAGCTAGCTGCTCGTTCTGCGTTGCTCACCCAATCAACTACGTACCAGTATTCTGTTCTTTTTGTCATATTAGACTTTTAGCAAGCTATTCCTGGTCAAGCGTATTCGCGTGTTGGCTGCTTTTCTCTTCAAATTTTACCAGTACGGTTCATTTTCGACGACATTTGACCCGACCGATTTACCACCCAGTTGATATGCGATCCCTCTCATTCAAATGATCATAACCAAAAGTTCTAACATATGTTGGAATGTATGCTATCGATTACACTTGACTTTATATGCTAAAATCGTGAATTTTCTTGGTTAATCGGCGTTTTATGCAGTGCCTTTGGCACTTATATTAGGCTTTTTGTGTCGTTATTCTTGAAGCAACGAGATGTTTATCAGATACTTCACAAGCTATTATGCTCCGTAACATTCAGCCATGAAACCATCAATTTTTTTGGTGAAAATCCTCTACCAACCAACCACTCACCTGATTTGTTTCTTTCTGCCATGCTTTTGTTTAATTCAGAATTAATGTACTTATAAAGCCATCCCCAACTAATCAGTGATGAGCTTGTCGACACGTATTTTCATGACCATCATCTCCATTACTTACATCTTTACTTTTTTATTAGTCGCTACAATAAGAGTATGAATCACTCACAGAATTAATGAATTTTTTTCGTTGAATGTGACGATTGAGAAAGATTGCTTTTTTCCTGCCATAATTTGCTCATGAACACGTTGACATTAAGAAGCTGATAGCTGTGTTTATCATGCGCAACCTTCCCATGCCATCTCTTATTCCTTTGTATGGTTTTTTCCTTTTACTTCAATTGGAAGGCGTCGATGATGTATCCAGTTACGATTACTATGGTGGGAACTACACACATTATTGAAGGTACGTTGAAAGCAAGGCTATGCAGCCTTTCCTACTAATGCTAATCAAAGAACGGAGCTCTGAACACAGGTTTGTTCGATCCTACTTACTTAGGCTCCGGACGGTTCGGTAGCACCAAGTCGTAGGTGGGTGCGGGCGGGGTCCTTCCTTGTTGCTTCGATGTGTTTGTCGAATAATATTATATATTTTTCTTCAATCATCTGATGTATTTTAGCTGTCACTCACGGTATTCTAATACTTGATCAGGGTTGGAGGAAGTTGCTTTCCATGGGGTATGTCCTGGCTTCCTGCTTATTCGAATACGCTATCGGAGTTCATTAGTACTTAGATGTTTTATCGCTCTAGTTCGGAGGATTTTTCTAAAAGTTGCCTGAAGAATACCTACATTCTTGACCTTTGCTCATATTGTGTTAGCCACTACCAACGCCAAATAAATGCAGTCGAATTCTTTCTGTAGGATCAGGTTGATCTGCGAGTTTTGCACCAGGCTGGTCATGACATTCTTCGTTGTGGAGAATTGAAAGCTTTGTTCATTTTCGTTGATTTTGTTTGGGAATATGTTTGATTTTCTAGGATTTTTCGGTTTTATTGCTCCTGGCATTATTGTGCGAGTATTACACTTGCGATGACTCAGCGTATTGAGTTACTTTCTTTGAATTAATATCCATTTTGTTGTGTTCATATTCCTGGGATAGTGAGATGTTCCTTTTGTCTTTGCTTCTTTCTAATAATAATGTTGATTTTTTTATTCTCATTTCGATGCTCTTAGCAACTCTACATTTGTTTTTCATCAAACAACAGCAAAGTAAGAATCTCAAGTTTTCAAACAAACTGCATGTGTTCGTTGTTCTGGCGGAAACGAGCACTAAGTTGAATCCCTGATTCCGTCCGAACAACAAGATTACACGCAGAACCAAAAACTCGTTCATTTGTCAAGTTGATGAGTACTTATTTTTCGTTCCGAACCCCCCTCAAACACGTCGTCTGATATCACCGGTACACTAAACACTTTTAAGTCAGGTTTGGAATTCAACTGTACTTTGAATTTTTAAAAGGAGACGCTCGTCAGGATCGTATTCCAAATGAGGATCGGGGATGACAGGCAAATTTCAGTAATCAGAAGTCAGCTTGCATCGGCGATCAATACACCACTTTTTTTTTATTTTTGGTAACATTCAGGAGATAGTTTTTGCGAATAATGAATGATACTCACTGCTTGGGTCTTACAATTCAGTAGCGCATCGATAAACGTTTATATGAGCCTCCTGTTGGCGCATTGAGGGAAAGGCGATACACAATAAACTAGCTAGTCATTGTTATGAGAATTACTTGAAATTTTCAGTTATATTACACTAAATTGTTCTCATTAATTCGTCCATGACAATTTCATCATTGAAGTTGAGCGTTGGAATAGATCTAGGCATTCGCGTGAGCAACTGACGACGTTGGAAGTCGAAATTAATTTTTTAGATGAACTTGAACGTGAAATTAATTTTTTTTTCGCATTCGCACGTGTAGCGGACGCTTAGTTATCAGGAGGTGAGCGCATTTTTCGAGATCATTCTGGAAGCGTTCGAAGATCGATATATCCATCCTATTTCTATTAATTTTATATGCTGTTGAAAATTAGCAGGAATGAAAACCGATTAGACTCACCTCCAAGTCGTGGCTTCCAATAATTTTTTTCTGATACACGAATAAATAGAAAGAAGATCTTGGATCAGAAGATACCTTAGGCTGGTCAAAAATTAACGCTTGTATCAAAAGCCAAGTTGTTACTAGCAAACTTTTCTGGTTTCACCTTTAATGACCATTTGCAGAATGTTATTTTCTCTCCATAAACAATAGTCAGTTATAGCTTTAATAGCCGAGAAATGCAAGCTTATGTTGTGCAGTAAAAATGCGTTCAGAGAACAGGCTGCGTTTAGGTGAAAAACCTCATCAACACGTTTAACCCTCTGTCTAGTAATTCGTAAATAACGGTTAATGTTTTCATAAGTAAAAAAAATGGTAACGCGAGTCTACAGACGAAGGGTTAAGTAGGTCCGACGAAGGAATGCCAGAGGAGATGCTGCCCGTTCACCTCGATCGCTATGCTGCCCGTAAGTTGTGCCGGAGTCTCCATTCTGCAAGAAGCTCGCGACACAAGGTGAGATTATTACGCTATTTTTATCCTTTCTCGCAATAAAGTAACCCTTTATTTCAACACAATCATTTGCTTGTTCTCCCATCAAATGATCTTTCATAAACGATAATTTTTTTTTTGTTCGCGACTTAAATGATGTTTGTGATGATCACAGAAACTTCTGTTGTCCTGACCATATCCTCATTCATTCATGAAAAATATTTCATTTCATATGCTTAGAAAGAGCTTGTAATTCATCTAGCGTTATCCGTTCTGTATCAATCGATGCTCTATAAATTTGCTAACGCTTTCTTTAGTTCCCGTGAATTTACAGTCATTATTTGTTCCACGATTAGTGTTCAACGTAATTTCAGAACTTCAATAATACTATATGAATATTATGTTGCTCGTCTATTGTTTATAACCGATCTATTAAGCTAACTCGTGTTAACTCATATTACTTACTTCTTCAGGACCAGTCTAGCATGTAAGAATACAGTTGAAATAATTGTTGTGTGTTAAATTGCACCAATATATGTAGTATTGATTTTTGTATTCTGAACGAGTCATGTTCACAATAGGCATTTAAAGAGTAGGATCATGTTCCAAAAAAATTGTTCTGTATAATGGCAGATGTGAACAAATTATTTATTTGTTTTACGTTCAACATTTTGACATTAATGTCAATTCTATCAATAGATGAAATGAAGATTATTGATGAGAAGAAACTTTGTACGTTCATGACTCACGGTTATTGCATCGCAAGTTACCATAAAAAGTTGAAAGTAATAGAAGTGGTGCTACTGCATATAATATTATTTTTATCTTTTAAACCTATTTATCTTAGACGCGCCGTGTTAGCTGTGGTCTGCTGCCGGCGTAAAATTATTGCACTCTGCAAAACTGAAACATTAAAAACTTTAATTAGCCTCGTCGTAAATGAGACAGCCGAATAATTTATTTTTTATTAAATTTTGACCACGAGCACGTGCCTGGCTGGATAAGTTGTCTTATATAAAGACGAAATCGCTTTCGTTTAGCTGTCAGTATTTCATCAGTGAAAAAATTGGTACTTTTTTTTATTTCCTACATCGAGTGAGTAATGTCACTCGGAATGGTGTAAATTGTAACAACGGCTGTTTAACGCTAAGTTGAGATTCACTGGATGGTAGAACTTTTAGTTGTGTTCCTGCTGACGTAGTGACGGCGTTGATCGTGACCGGTAATGAACTGCTCGTTGATTCATGGAAACTTACTGATTTGAAAGCTCAATAAAAAAAACTGGTAAAAGTATCATTACAATGTAAATGTTATTGAAAAATACATTACCTGAATTTTTATATCACTAGTTTTAAAGATGTTGTCGGGCAAATGACGGCCCCCATTGTCAATGCATTCAGTTGGCTGATTTTTGAAGTTCGGTTCGAATCGCTGCAGAATATTGCCGGGTATTTACCTCATCTCCTTGAGATGAGGTAAAGAAATAAAGTTCAAAAATCTACTAACTGAATGCATTGACATTGGGAGCCGTCGTTCGTTCAAAACTAAGTGATACAAAAATTCAGATAATGTATTTTTCAATAAATTTTATATCGTAATAATATCTTTACTTGTTTTTTTTCTTAATGAGCTTTCAAATCAGGAAGTTTCCGTGAACCAACATGCAGTTGTGTACGGATACAATAACCACGGGAGACTATTCGTATGTACAGGCCTGGCCTCTTGAGTTACCGTGGGTAGGGAAAAGTTAAAACATGTACTGTGACGACTGTATTGTTGGACTGCCCTATAAGTGAGATGAAGCTTGATGTGTTGCAGAGAAGCGCAAGTTGGAGGGAAGCGTTGGGGGCGGAGGGGCGCAGCTACACCCACAACAGCATCATCACCAACAACCCCCGCACTCTGGGGAGTCCAAGAGAAGGAGTGGTGAAGCCAGCAGTCAGTTTGACTGGGGCTCACAACCTATCCCACAGCAACCACTGTCATCCTCATACCACTGGGGCAGCTAAAATACACTAACTAATCGCGTCATCACACACTCTATTCTCACCTTATTTATTACTGACAATTTTTATTGCATAACGTATGCATTGGGGAGCACGAGAAAAGTTTTCAGGCTATACTGACGACACACATCGCGAGTAGGAAATGACGATATATATTGTCTTAGTTGACATGACACGCCCGGGAAGAAAAAGACAACGGAGACTCCGTTCTTCATGATTCTCTTGATGGTCTGAAGAGGTCATCTGTATTGCGTAAATACCAAGTTACACTGTTTTTAGGATAATCTTATTATTTTTAATATGGACGTCTTGTTACTACAACACTTGATGACGGATGGCATGCCAACGGGGGGAGCTATGAAGTCATGACGCTGGAGGGATTTCTAAGGACCGATGAAGTAGAAGGCAGCGGACAGAGGTGTGTGTTTGTGGTGCTAGACAACTGACTCGGTGGTCGAGGGGGACGTACGAGGGGCGGAGAGAACGAGTGTGTGTGGCTTGAAGGTCCCCAGTCAGTGAGCAATGTACCTGAACGAAGTCGCAAGACTTCATTAGGAAAGCTAAGGCTACTCTATTGTTGCACCAAGTACGTGAAAAGTAATGATCTGGTATCCACTGCTTTGATTTGGGTCAAAAAAATTCAAATGATTGAATTTTGTTGTTTGTTTGGAGAAGCCAAGTCTTCCGGTAACTGCCTGGTCATTCCCCCCCGTTCTGCATCACTTAAAATGAACTCTACGGAGCAAGTCGCGGCACAGCCATCCAAATTACTAGCTCTCATCAAAAACATTCTCATCATCAACAGAGATGCTAAATTTCTTTGCTTTTAATTCTTTCTACTTTTCCGTTCTCTCTAAATTGAATGGATGTCTGATGAATGCTGAATGTTAAGTAAATGCTTCACTTTAGTGATATTTCCTGGAATACCTTGAGATTTTCGCAGCTTGTGTACTGTAGTTTGTGAATTAGATAGTAGTGCATGGTGTTAAATTGCTAAAACGCATCTCTGAAACAAATACCATATAATGTAATTACCAATCCACACATCATTGTTCTGTGCTTGCTAAGGACGAGTTCTCGCTGATGAAAATTGCGCCCTCAAAGAAAAGGCGGAACTGCTGTCGTAGCTTGCTAAAAGTTGGGCCCTTGGACCCCATTGTACTCTTCTGTTAGCATTGCCTAAATTGTGTGATTAGAGTGAACTTGAGTGGATATTTCATTAGATTAGTAATTTTCTCTCCTAATTGTGGTCGAATACGAGGACAGCTTGGGTCCGTGTTTCACGATCCGATAATTCTAAATATTACTGCTATTATTACCTTTGGATGTCAATTGAAAAGAGGGAAATACCGTCGCTCTTGCTATGTAATTGGTGTAAAGTGTTATTATTGTAGGTCAGCCAACGTTGACACTCGACACTTTTTGTAATTTTTGTTCGTTATGAGAGCTGTTGCTTTCGTTCTCCTACCGCAGCTCGTTTGAGACTGCGTGTGCCATAGGAGCTAGAATAATTTTTACCGCGCTTGACTCCAACTATTGAAGTTTGTCTATAATTTGAGCTTTAGAAGAATTTGTGTTGACCCGTACGCTGTCTACCGTTGCTATCAATAAATAACACGTTGAATTGATCGTGGTGAATTTCTGTACATCTTCAGTGACTTCATTACCCTCATCTGGCCAAAAGTAAGCAAGTTTACGCGTGGATCTGCAAAATGTGCCACCACTCGATTCACAAGAAAGTAAACACTGTTTACAAGCCCTTGTTTTATTGACCTCTTGTCTGCGTGCGTAACGCTTCTAACAACGGCAATAGCGGTGGAAATTATTCTTTTGAACTATTCCGAATGAAATTCTAGTTTTAAAAGAAAATTGCATCCATAGATAATACTTACCATTGTTAAAAATGTAAATTTTTAAATTTATTTAAATAATTGTTTAGTTATGCATGAATATACAATCAGACTGGAAAGGTTTTAAGAGGACGTGGTAGGCTAGTTAGTATCTGGGTGCTCGTTGAAAGGATTCTCAGTATTGGTAGTTTCCGTCCTGCAGGAAATGGTAACTTCCATAGACGTGGCGAAAGGTTGACAATGATACTGTGATAAATTTAATTAGCATATGCTGGCAGTGCGATCTGCTTTGTAATGCACACAGGATGATTGGATACATGCGCACTGGCTTTCGTCTCTTGAGCGTGCTTCTGCTAGTTTTGAGATGCAGTTTAGCGACGTGATTAGACGTGTTCGTATGAAATGACACTCTAGTTGTTTAGATTTCCAAGTCTTGATGATGCAATGTTGGTTTGCAACAGTCAACAGACTAGACGAATTTTGAAAAAGGTAAAATGAATCCCTTTTCTTCCAAACGTAGGCATTAACATTTAAATATTTTGTTAAGTTAGCATAGATTGCTGTACGATTCGTCTTGGTGTAAGTCGTTATTACGACATTGGTTTTATGCCCCTTAACGAACTCAGGTAACTATTACATATGAGGATTGCAATACGTCAAGTGAGGCACGACACACGGGTGGGTTGCAGGGTCTTTTTTCCTAACAAATTCCGCAATTTAGTTTTTTTTTTCAATTGCGTTAGTCTACAATAATTTGTGATGGCAATAATACCTCTTTAAATTTTAAAATGTAGGGAAAAAGGTAAATTTGATTTTTACACCGGAGTCTACAAATTCACTAATATATTTGGTATTATATATGCCTTTTTAACCGCGGACGTGGCCGTTTATAGGCTATCTGCCAGCGCTGGTTGGTCGTGCCACAGTTAACGTGTTCAGGACTTGAGGTCCACGAGCCCATGCAAGATAATGAACCATAGCGTTGCTGCTCCGTAGAGTTTGACAATTTGAGCAAACGTTTCGCATATGATGAGCCGACTGCGCTTTATACATATCAAGGTTATTTACACAATACACAATAATCATTAATATTTACAAAATACACAATCCAATCCACAACTGGTATTGGATGATAGCGCCGGATTTTTATCGTGTTTCATATGAAAAACTAAATTACAATTACACAGACAAAATTCTTAACAACAACCACCATTAGTAGCTGAAATGTGAAAGTTGAAGATCGCGTTAACAAAGCAAGTGTGTTTTAAAACACCACTTTCTCAGCTTAAAATTTTATTAATTTTGATTAAACTTCATTAAATCGTTTTCGTCGGGATGGGAAACGTATGGTAATAACCAACATTAGATATTCGTTAGTGGATGTAATTAGTGCAATCTCGGTTCTTCTTTGGCAATTAGGTCGCAAAATAATTAGTACAATCAAGAGGGCTATCGGCACACAAGTTTATATTCACAACAGCTGCATGATTTTTACCGTATAATTGAGAAAGATTTTCAATATCTTCAACGGACATGCCGAGATGAATGCAAGTAGTCCTTGTTACACAAATGCTTGCACAGTCCTGTACCGCCATATATTTTATGGTGCACAACTTAATTTTTATTGCAACAAATCGAGTAAAGTTTATTATACTCTATTTCAGAAAGTTACTCCGTGAATTAAAAAATTGATTGAATCAGAGCACCGGACTGATGTCTACAAATGAAATACTTGTCCTTGAAATTTATCATCATCGGCTAGATATTGTTATGTATAATGTATGGGACTAAGAAGTGTCCGCGCTTCTCCCACAATACTCTGCTCATTTACTGCCGAACAGTAATTTTAAAACTACGAGGATTAGGATTAAAAGTGAATGCTGAGGTTGTCAGGTTGAGAGGTATTTATGGAAAATTCGTTTAAAGTCCACAATGAATCGACACGATGAAGTTGGCTTGTAGTCTATTTTTCCAATGCTCATTTGAAATTAACTGGTTTTAATTTGGCCTCTGTAAGTTGTTCCTCAGAATATTTTCCTGAAAATCATGCAATTCGGAAATTAATAAAATATACTTTAGAAATCAGTCGTTTAACTGATGAGCTGCAACCACTTACCTGCCTCAATTTCTTAATCTTGTCCTAATTTTTCTCAATCTTAAATCTTCATTTGAGCGGTCTTTCTCGACTCAACTGACTTTGCAGTTAATTATTTTCTATCCGTTTTCACGGCGAGACGATCCCGTGGAGTTATTAAGTTTTCTACACTGCGCGCCGCTCTGCGTATCTCGCGCAGTCCTTGTACAAGTTTGCATTGACGTGCATCAGGTAAGCCTACATAACGGGAAACGAATGATCTGCTGCTGTTAATAAATAGTGATTATTTACTAAAAAATAACGTTTTCATTCCAATAACTGATGAAATTTGAGTGATCGATTGGGTAGAAATAGAACACATTTGATCTATGTTTGCCACGCATATGGTGTAATGATGAGGCTATTGAAGTCGTATTGATTATTTTTTGTAGCGAGAGATCCTTTTTTTATAGAATATTAGGCTGTGGTAACCATGTTTCTACATATGATTAAACGTGAGAAACTTAGATGGAAAGCAGCAAAATATCGAGTAAATATTGATAGAAAATATATCAAGCGGAGTTTCTTGTTATCGCAATTCATGGCTAATGGAATTTTTGTAATTTTTTTTATATATTTTCACACGAATAAGTATAAGTGAAACTTATAACTCTTATTACCTATGGCTATTAATAACTAAAATAAAATGAAGCACCCCTAATTAATACTTTTTTAGTGTTGTGGAAGGAATATGTAAATAAAATAAACTAATGGGTATTATTGGAAAGCACCATAAAAACAATTTTTCTTTGGTACAATAACTATCGCAAATATCATGCCTTATGACGCATACAAGTATTCAAACAAATAATGCGCTCTAAGGATATATATTATAATCAGTTTGTTGAGAAGATTAGGAACCGTTCCTTACATCACCAATTGTCTTCCAAATATTACATAAAAATATTTTATTTCTTACCCCGAAATTCATTAAAAACAAGGCCACCTTTGATCCATAAATAAAATGCGTGGAGGCTTAGTTTAAAGGATCCAGAAAATAAATATTACTTTGCTATAACGCTTGCCTTTTACGACTGGAGATCCAATTAACTTCTAGACCGCCCAGCGATCAAATTATAATTTATGTAAGTGGGTTGATAATTCAAATTGAATTCTGTAACGCTAAATGTTTACTAAAAACATTACGGACTTTACGCAACTATAAAAATTATAATACAATTAAAGGTTACGTTAAAATGATATTTTTTAATTTTTTTAGTTGCAATGCTCAATACGGCTGCAGTTGTTGAACTGAGCTAAACACTTGAGTGGAATTTATCGAGTTTTCGGGGTACAATGTAAAGGAAATAGTTGACATTTAACTAAATATTTCAATGTTCGCTCTGTTAGTAGGGGGTTAGGATATATATTTTTATGTTCAAATGGTAAAATGTAATAGAAATTTAGTTTTGGTTGATATTAAAACGTGTGGTGACGGAAGCACCTCCCGGCCTGAAGGTAATAGAAATGAACCGCTGCTGTAAGCAAACTGTGATCACGTTGTCATAACAACCGCAACCTCAGGGGTAATGCTGGGCCGTATCACATTCAAACGTAATAAGGTTTTAAATAAATGCTCCTACTAATTCAATGGCACTAAACAATTGCATTTAGTTTTACTGTCTTAAATTACAACAATCAACTCGAACGAATAACACTTTGAAAGGCCGGTATTATTGAGCTCAGGAGAGCTGGAACAAAAATAATGTAAAAACCCTGTCATTTGATGTTTCTCACGAGAGTTTTTCTGTCGGATGAATTGAACTGCGACCGTAGCAGAACTTTTTTGAGCCATAGACTGCTTCTTAATGTTATTTTCGGAACTAAACAAGAGAAGAAACAGTAGACTGATCTCTTCTTTGCATGCTTCACATTTACTCAGATCGTAATTTTTGGTAACCGTTCTAACTTGTCTTAAATTTTGGGCTCAAAGAAATTCCCAAGCATTTAAAATGAAGTCACTGGATCAATTATGATAACTATTGGTTTTTTCTTGTGGTCTGAGATCAAACCATCGTGGCATTTCATGGAAGCATTTGCTGCTCTTCATGTACATTGCAGCCTTCCGTACCACAGCTTTGAGTTCAAATTCCACGCGCTCGGTCATGTGCACTACAAATTATACGTTAGTCTCCTTTCGTGTTTGAACAAAGTTCGTGATGTAGAATTAGACATTTAGCTCGAGATGGCAGACGCTGCATGAGCGAGTCGAGGGCTTGCATGGGCGCGATCGAGTTGAAGAGGTGACCGCTTGATGCGAACCTCCTCCTATATATCCGATTATAACGAGGATAAGTGAAGTGTTGCTGCAGATGACTCTGATACCAACTGATGATGACTTCGATATCATCTGGTGATGACTGTATTGACTGAACACACGTGGAATTTATGTCCACGATAAGCAAACAGAGTTTTATTGATGAATGACTTAATTGCCGAACACGGAACGGGATACCCGCGATCTGCGGATAGTGCGCGATGCGGACCGAGATAACGAAGTGCAGGCGTCGAGCTTGTGGCACAAAGTGGAGGTGGTAACAACATAACGCGCTCTTGCGTCTATGGGGATACTAGAAGGTTGCTATCATGACGATGAGCGAATAAATAGATCATGGTGACTTGTAAAAGATAAGAAAATCGTTGGATCAAAAATGGATGTGAATGACGAGTAAATTAATATAAAATAGCTACTTTTAATCGACAAAAAAAAAACATCATTTCAAGGAGGTGTTTAAACGATGGGTAGCGTAATAGATCTTGCTGTTGTGTTTA